CGACATCATATGATGACGTTCGGCCAGCTGCCCTAACTTTTAACGACATCATATGATGACGTTCGGCCAGCTGCCCTAACTTTTAACGACATCATATGACGACGTTCGTCCGATAAAGGTTAATAAAGGTGGGTTGATTCTGCTTGTGGAGAAATATAGTAGTACTAAGAATTTAATTGAAAGGATCATGAAAGACTTGCTTACATCCTTCCATTTTGAATATCAGCAGAGAAACTGAGCGGTCTGTCATGAGATCAAAAAAGAAAGTGGTTTGGCACTGAGGCACTCCTTTGCCTTAGAGCAGGGGTCTCCAAACTTTTCGAAACGCGAGCCACATTAGGTAATTCAGCACTTTCAATGGGCCGGATAAAATGCGAAATTAATAACTCTAGGTATATGAGTTTTATTGAATTTCGTAAACTAATTACAAAGTACGTGAGAATAAATTATTGTATATTAATGACAACAGACACTAGCAGCAAATGCTCATATTTTCATCACAAATTATAATAAAACAATGTGAATGATGGAACTCTTTTTACATTCTTAAAATCTGATTAAATTGAGGTGGTGGTGATCTGTTACAATTACACTGCACCACTGCAAGAAGTCTTGTGTGCAAGTTGGCTAGTAACGAACTGCTCGCACTACCTACATTGCCATGAAGTGACACTGCCGATCAAGGCCGAACAAGTATGAAGAAATACAGTCCAGAATTAGTAAAATTGTTAATAATATTAACATAATATGGAATATCAATATATTTTAAACACAATCTTAATTAATGAATTTGAAATTTATGAACAAGTATTTTTTTTACCAATACTGATTGGAAAATTAGTTCAACTGACGCATTTCTGCACAATTCTTTCGCGGGCCGTAGTTTGGAGACCCTTGCCTTAGAGGGAAAGAGTCGACTGAAAATCGTGAAGTAAGTTTCAGTGTAATTATATAATTCTTTAAAAAATTAGGCAGTGTCATTAATATTATTAATTGGAATTCAGAGGTTTCATGTAGTGGAATGACGCAAGAGGAATAGCTTTTAATTGTACTTAAATTCAGTGCAGTTATGCCCCTCCCTCCATATGCATTTTCTTCACTGCCTGAATGAACTGCATCATAACCGAAGCTCATTCTTGGTCACTCTTAGCAAGCGATCTCTGATTACTGACACTTTTCTTGCCAAGGAACACTTGCTTCATTTTGCATAAGTTGTACCTTGCATTCATCCCTCAATAACTTTGCATCAGCAGAGCTCTTCCTCGTGTGTCACCACATGTTGGCTGTCGCTGCATCACCAGAACTGATCCTGCTCCATAGTCCTGGAATATGTGTTCTGTTTTGTGTGTCTTCAGCATATAAAGTAGTGGGAAGTGCACGAATGGATTTGCAAGTTGCAGTTGTCCTCAGAAAAGTCTGAAGGTAGGCTGATACTGTGTATTCTGTATGCTTAAAGAAGGGAATATGAAGTGAAATCAGAAGGCAATGCAGAGCCACGTGGAACGGATGGATGAAGAGACAAATAACAGTACAGACCTTGGGGAATAAGAAATCTGAACGAGAAAGAAGATGGGCAGAACGACAGTGAGACTCTGAACATGACACAGAAGCCTGTACCTTAACTGAAGGAGAAGAAAAAAATGTGACTTATGCTTCATTCACAAAAATTCAGAATTTAAATTTGGTATTGTATATCACTCAGAATCACTTGCTGGGTTTTTGGATTGTGTTCATTGTCTGATGTTCACAAAACAAGAGAATGTACCATTTCAGGAACTGGGTCTGTTTCGGTCCTCTCTTGAGGGGGGGGGGCACAACTACTCTGCTGGGTCCATTACAAATTCATGTCTGTTATATTCATTGTTGAAGTGGATGAGGAAGCCTAGCTGTGTCACATATGTATCTGTAGTTAGTTAGTTATTAGAGAGGGTGGGTTTCCCCATGCACTGAGACCTGTATTGGTCCATTGTGCTTCCCTCTATGATTTCTACCAGTCTCTATATCCTACCGGTACTGGTGCTTACCATCAGTCCCGCCCAGCCAGCGAGACCGGCTCTACTAGCTGAGAGGTATCTATAATGCTTCCCCCATCTACCAGAGGTATTAGAGACTGCTGTTGGGCGGGAAACGTCCGTTAATTTGGCTCAGTGACCTCCTTTGGAGATATGAGGTTCTTTTACGTGCCGTAAAGCTACAACATGGGACCCACGGCTTAAAGTCCCTCCCGGAGGACTTGTTCCCTGAATTTTTCTGCCCTTAAAAATTCGACGACCTCCGCCGGGTATTTGAACCCGTGTACTACGAGTCATGAGGTGGGAACGTTACCTCTAGACTACGGAGGCCGCTTATGTATCTGTATGTCATCATGCTCTATGTTTGTGATTTTGAATATATGGGCTTAATGGAATATTGAGATAATGTCAGCACAGTACAGTAGACCTAAGCCCGTGTTCGGTAGAGGGCTCTAAAATATGCTGGGGTTCCACATTTATATAAATTATCTCACATATGCTTTTGGCACGGATATTATAAACTGTAGCAACAGAAAGCTGAGCAAGTTGTGTCCATTTCACGGTCACTGTGTTTCAACTGTTTGAATGCTGGGTGTTTGTAGCTAACATGGCCAAGACAGGCCACAGAAGCCTGGTTCTTCCTCCTCAACACTGTGGGGTCAAATGGCATTCACCCTTCAAGTAAGTTAAGGGTAAAGGTAAAGTTGTCCAAGCATTATGCCAGGAAGACATGGGGGATTGGATGTATAGCCCCACCATTCTTCACTTCGACACTAGATGGAGATGAGTGGTCAGCTTCACACCCCGGTCTCCTTTACCGTATCGGAAAAGCCCAAGATATCAATTGGATAGGAGGCGCCATTGGGACACACAACCAAAATTTTGTTCATTCCAAGACCATTAATGTGTTTGGAAATACGCTCTGTTCGACGAGAGGAGGGGTCAGTGTGTCTGACTAGGCACCACAACTGTCTTTGGGAGACAGGTTGAGAAGGCTAATGATGGATGGAACGCCATTAATGAACTCTGGTGTTATGGTACTGGAACTTCGGATTTTGCCATCATAGGGATGATTCACTATGCACCACGTTTCTATCCATTGTTATCTAAAGAGTTGTTTATTGTTGTAAGACCTTGCCAGATCATATTTTCATAGTACTGACTAATAAACTAGCAAAAAAGCCAATAAATGAACTAGGTTGAGAAAAATTCATGCTAAGTTTTCTAAATGGATTTTGTTTTACTTCATCACAAGCAGATCTAAGACAGCAACAATACAGCACTTACTAAGGGTTTTTACTGATGTTGCCTGCAATACCTAGGACATGAATAGGAAATTTTAAAGTACTGCACTGTGGTATGCTGGGAGCACAGCTACAATACAGCACTTACTAAGGGTTTTTACTGATGTTGCCTGCAATACCTAGGACATGAATAGGAAATTTTAAAGTACTGCACTGTGGTATGCTGGGAGCACCTACAACAGTTTTTGCTTGTGATCCTGAAAACGTTGGTTTCCTTAAAAGGTTTCATTTTGCTTAGTAATAATAAAGACATGATATGCAAATTAGTGGCATACTTGTCACACAAGAATCGTGTTTCTGAAATGTACTTTATAAAAGAGAACCCATTCCAAGTCACTGAACTTTAGTTGTGTTGAATTTGATACAAAAAATTCACAAAGATAAACATGTTCAAAATGGGGGACAATAAACACAATTACAGTAACAAAACCAATTTCTTGGATTGTAAAATGAAATAATATATTTTATTGTTAAAGACAGCTGCTGCTGACACACACTTGGTTGAGTTTATCACAAAACACGAACTGTATATTTATTTCTTTTGCTTCTTTTTCTCTGCTTCTTCTTCCTTTTCTTTCTCAATTTCAACCACATATTCCTCTATCTTTTCTGCATCTAACATCTGCAACAAAGATCAATAAAGAATAGATGGTCACTTTTGATACTCATAACTGTATTCAAGGCCTAATATGATACCCTTCTTAACTTAATTTTGATCTTTAACCCTTTGCATGCCATGAATTGACTACATCAGCTGAGGGTATTTGTGTTAAAAATGCTGCTCTCTAGAAGACTGGCTCATTGTTGATCAATTAGTATAGCACTTCTGTCAGCAGACTGCAATAAGTGACACACTGATGTCTAGAGGAAAGACTGGGCTTTCATATGATATATATATGCTTTTGTTTGAAGGTCATTTAAGGAAAATATTATGGGTTGTTCTGTGCAACTGTATTCACCTTACTCGTTTTAAAAACATCCTAAATATAGCTATGAGTTTGTGATGAAGGTACATTAATATATTTATTGTGGACATCATCCACTGTCTTTCTATTTAAATAAATAAATAAATAAAAAACAGGACAGTAGATAATGTCCAGAAACACAATAACCGTATCTTAAAGAGAAATCAAGCACAGTAATAAATTCAGATTACAAATGTAAGCGAGAAGATTACTGTCTTCTCTGATGTGATACCGTGCAGTCTGGCAGAAAGATACCAAGATATAGCAGGATCCTCCAAAAAGCTGGTACTTCTCTACCAGACTACATGGCATCATATCCCAGAAGATAGTAGTTTATAAACCAAGTATCTGATTCCAGAGAGAAAATACACCAACAGCAAAACCTGCCATTCAACCCTACTGTAAATCAGCTGAGCTGAAATCCTCACAAAGTATATCTCCATAGTCAACTTTAATATTTAAATTTCAAGGTTCTCAGTGTGGTGAATATTATAATTACATCTTCTGGATTGTGATACCATGTAATCTGGTTGAATGGTATCAATGTTTCAGAGAAAACTGCTGCTCCTATCTTCCTACCTTGAAGATGAAAGTAGCAGGCTCCTAGAAAATAATACCATTCTGCAATACTACATATCACAAACAGAAGACTATCTTCATATTAACCAATGTGAGAACCTCGAATATCAAATGTATTCTTCTTTAAACTTGATAAATTAATATTTATATTTAGTTGGCATATGAGATTCTAAAATTTTCAAGATAACACAGAAAATAAAGTTCAGTTTCATGCAGTATCAACAATGCCAGATTACAAATAGTATCAGAAAATGTGAAGTGGCCTCTGTAGTCTAGTGGTAACGTTCCCACCTCATGACTCAAGGTACACGGGTTCAAACCCGACAGAGGTCGTGGAATTTTTAAGGGCAAAAAAATTTAGGGAACAAGTCCTCCAGGAGGGACTTTAAGCCGTGGGTCCCATGTCGTAGATTTACGGCACGTAAAAGATCCTCATGTCTCTAGGAGACCTCTGAGCAAATTTAGGCAACATTTCCTGCCCAAGTAGTTTCCAGTGCCTCTGGTAGATGGGGGAAATATCAGGTACCGAGGGCCGACCTCGTTGGCTGAACAGGGCTGATAGCACGCACCAGTACCAGTAGGGTATGGCGACAGTAGAAATTAAAGGGGGACGCACAATAGACCATTAGTTGTGGTGCATGGGGAAACCCACCCCCTCCAATAATAATAAAAAATCAGAAAATGTAGTCAGTGATCTAGATTATGATTACAGTGAAAAAATGGGTCTAATAAAGATAATTCCCACATCCACTTTTTCAATTTATCTCAAACTGATAAAGTCAGTCTAGCACAGGTCGAACGTTTAGACATACCTGCATTGGTTCTCCACGTCGCATCACTGCTATCTCCAGATTTTTCCGCCCAGACTGCACTACTTCCAGCAATGCCCTTATGGCTAATTTCACCGTTCCTTTCTCTGAAGATACAAGTTCTTCAGTATAATATTTTTCTAAAAATTCTCTCACTGTCTTCGCACTGCGACCAGTTGCATTCGCCTGTAACAACACACCTTGGTAGAGAAACCCACAAGATGCTGCACTTATTGAACTGGAGCCCACCAAGTACCTGTCAAAGTCCCATATACTTTCCCCTTTAGTACTGGATGGCATTATAAGCTTTTGCAAATGAATTTAAAAATCAAGAGCTCACTATATGCTGAATTGCATTTTGATTAATTTTAGTCACAGTGTTGTGTACAACCATAGGTAAGAGAACCATACAGTGAATTGTAAGGTAACCTACAGGCTTTCCTCTTTAGCAGTACTTGTCCACAAAATATTATACATCAACTACCACATCTTTTAATATGTACATTAGATTCAAGTATAAGATTTTCTAGTTCTCCAGTCATTGGTAAATTGGTCTTTTCTTATATAAAATTTGTAATTCATACTCATATATATATATATATGAAATTACAAATTATATGCAGTCAAAACCTAACTAGAAATCACTTAAATTTAGTGAGAACTCTATATCTGTAGTGGGTGAAATAAAGAATGAACAGATCAATAAACTATTTCAAGACCTCCAATTTTATTACATGATTCAATTCCGTTTGATTCAATCAACTAATTCTATTTCTCTTGCAACATGGCACACAACACTTTTTGTTTGGAAACTAATACAATTCTACTATGGCTATTGGAGTTAAAAAAAAAAAAGAGACACACCAATGATACGACACAACATGCCAGGAAACACCTGGTAATGCAGTGAGATTATACAGTCGTATCCGAGGTCCTCATAGGAGCGACTATAAAGAGTGTAACAGCACTTAGTTTGACAAGGTCCACCGGTGCTTTGAAGTAACATATACCCTCAATCTTCAGAGTTGAAGCTGGTTCCATGCTTGTATTACTCTTTGATTCTGAAGACTGAGGCAATATGTTTCTCTGAAATGCTGGTGAATTTTAGCAAACTGCATGGCACAAAAGGAGGACACATCACAAGACACAGAAGAACGACTCCCATAGCAGAAGATTGATATAATATGCGAGTTTGAAATATGACGTATAAGATGATAAATCTTAACAAATTTTAATATATAAATATTATTATAGTACATGACGAATATACATTTTAAATCATTTTATAAACAACACATGATGGCGAGCAGTGCAGTAGTTTAACGTAAATAACACACTTGAGGATGGCACAGTGATGCCGAAACAGGTAGTGAAGTGACAAGTGAGATTGTGTACACTAGAAGACGGTCAATACATACACATCATGGACACGAATCAGTGAAACAGG